CTGGCCTGTCTGCCTGCTGGCCTGTCTACCAGCTGGCCTGTCTGCCTGCTCCCCTGTCTGCCTGCTGGCCTGTCTACCTGTTGGCCTGTCTGCCTGCTCCCCTGTCTGCCTGTTGGCCTGTCTACCTGCTGGCCTGTCTGCCTGCTGGCCTGTCTGCCTGCTGGCCTGTCTGCCTGCTGGCCTGTCTGCCTGCTGGCCTGTCTGCCTGCTGGCCTGTCTTCCTGCTGGCCTGTCTGCCTGCTGGCCTGTCTGTCTGCTGGCCTGTCTGCCTGCTGGCCTGTCTGCCTGCTGGCCTGTCTGCCTGCTGGCCTGTCTGCCTGCTGGCCTGTCTGCCTGCTCGCCTGTCTGCCTGCTGGCCTGTCTGTCTGCTGGCCTGTCTGTCTGCTCGCCTGTCTACCTGCTCCCCTGTCTGCCTGCTGGCCTGTCTGCCTGCTGGCCTGTCTGCCTGCTGACCTGTCTGCCTGCTGGCCTGTCTGCCTGCTCCCCTGTCTGCCTGCTGGCTTGTCTACCTGCTGGCCTGTCTGCCTGCTCCCCTGTCTGTCTGCTGGCCTGTCTACCTGCTGGCCTGTCTGTCTGCTGGCCTGTCTGTCTGCTGGCCTGTCTGCCTGCTGGCCTGTCTGCCTGCTCCCCTGTCTACCTGCTGGCCTGTCTGCCTGCTGGCCTGTCTACCTGCTGGCCTGTCTACCTGCTGGCCTGTCTGTCTGCTGGCCTGTCTACCTGCTGGCCTGTCTACCTGCTGGCCTGTCTGTCTGCTGGCCTGTCTGTCTGCTGGCCTGTCTACCTGCTGGCCTGTCTACCTGCTGGCCTGTCTACCTGCGGGCCTGTCTACCTGCTGGCCTGTCTACCTGCGGGCCTGTCTACCTGCTGGCCTGTCTACCTGCTGGCCTGTCTACCTGCTGGCCTGTCTACCTGCTGGCATGTCTGCCTGCTCCCCTGTCTGCCTGCTCCCCTGTCTGCCTGCTCCCCTGTCTGCCTGCTGGCCTGTCTGCCTGCTGGCCTGTCTGCCTGCTGGCCTGTCTGCCTGCTGGCCTGTCTGCCTGCTGGCCTGTCTGCCTGATGGCCTGTCTACCTGCTGGCCTGTCTGCCAGCTCCCCTGTCTACCTGCTGGCCTGTCTGCTTGCTGGCCTGTCTACCTGCTGGCCTGTCTACCTGCTGGCCTGTCTGTCTGCTGGCCTGTCTGTCTGCTGGCCTGTCTGTCTGCTGGCCTGTCTTCCTGCTGGCCTGTCTGTCTGCTGGCCTGTCTACCTGCTGGCCTGTCTTCCTGCTGGCCTGTCTACCTGCTGTCCTGTCTACCTGCTGGCCTGTCTTCCTGCTGGCTTGTCTGTCTGCTGTCCTGTCTTCCTGCTGGCCTGTCTACCTGCTGTCCTGTCTACCTGCTGGCCTGTCTTCCTGCTGGCCTGTCTACCTGCTGTCCTGTCTACCTGCTGGCCTGTCTTCCTGCTGGCCTGTCTTCCTGCTGTCCTGTTTACCTGCTGGCCTGTCTGTCTGCTGTCCTGTCTACCTGCTGGCCTGTCTTCCTGCTGTCCTGTCTACCTGCTGTCCTGTCTACCTGCTGTCCTGTCTACCTGCTGGCCTGCATCTCTCTGGTAATTGCAGTATATTGACGGCAGGTGAGTCAATTATATATATTGACGGCAGGTGAGTCAATTATATATTTCCTTAATAGTATGAAAGATAGTTTTTCTAGATTTGCTGCTTCATTCTTTTGTAAAATAACACTTTTTTATGTATATTTGTGTTCCGCGGTCAACACCTCTTTGGGTCACTATTAATGGAGTGTGTTAGTGTGTGAGGCGCACCTCCTCCCTGTGCCTCGAGTTGATGGTCACTATTAATGGAGTGTGTTAGTGTGTGAGGCGCACCTCCTCCCTGTGCCTCGAGTTGATGGTCACTATTAATGGAGTGTGTTAGTGTGTGAGGCGCACCTCCTCCCTGTGCCTCGAGTTGATGGTCACTATTAATGGAGTGTGTTAGTGTGTGAGGCGCACCTCCTCCCTGTGCCTCGAGTTGATGGTCACTATTAATGGAGTGTGTTAGTGTGTGAGGCGCACCTCCTCCCTGTGCCTCGAGTTGATGGTCACTATTAATGGAGGGTGTTAGTGTGTGAGGCGCACCTCCTCCCTGTGCCTCGAGTTGATGGTCACTATTAATGGAGGGTGTTAGTGTGTGAGGCGCACCTCCTCCCTGTGCCTCGAGTTGATGGTCACTATTAATGGAGGGTGTTAGTGTGTGAGGCGCACCTCCTCCCTGTGCCTCGAGTTGATGGTCACTATTAATGGAGTGTGTTAGTGTGTGAGGCGCACCTCCTCCCTGTGCCTCGAGTTGATGGTCACTATTAATGGAGGGTGTTAGTGTGTGAGGCGCACCTCCTCCCTGTGCCTCGAGTTGATGGTCACTATTAATGGAGTGTGTTAGTGTGTGAGGCGCACCTCCTCCCTGTGCCTCGAGTTGATGGTCACTATTAATGGAGGGTGTTAGTGTGTGAGGCGCACCTCCTCCCTGTGCCTCGAGTTGATGGTCACTATTAATGGAGTGTGTTAGTGTGTGAGGCGCACCTCCTCCCTGTGCCTCGAGTTGATGGTCACTATTAATGGAGTGTGTTAGTGTGTGAGGCGCACCTCCTCCCTGTGCCTCGAGTTGATGGTCACTATTAATGGAGTGTGTTAGTGTGTGAGGCGCACCTCCTCCCTGTGCCTCGAGTTGATGGTCACTATTAATGGAGTGTGTTAGTGTGTGAGGCGCACCTCCTCCCTGTGCCTCGAGTTGATGCCTTGTTATTTGCTTTTTAATACATATGTGCTTCATAATCCTTGAAGAGCGCCACCACATGGCTGAGTGCACTCACTCCAGCCCTCGGCTCCTTGGGGCTTCAACATGTGCTTCATGGTTGTATGATGACTTTGTGGTGGTTAGATGACTTCATGGTTGTATGATGACTTTGTGGTGTTTAGATGACTTCATGGTTGTATGATGACTTCATGGTTGTAAGATGACTTCATGGTGGTATGATGACTTCATGGTGGTATGATGACTTTGTGGTGGTTAGATGACTTCATGGTTGTATGATGACTTCATGGTTGTATGATGACTTCATGGTTGTAAGATGACTTCATGGTTGTATGATGACTTCATGGTTGTATGATGACTTCATGGTTGTAAGATGACTTCATGGTGGTATGATGACTTCATGGTGGTATGATGACTTTGTGGTGGTTAGATGACTTCATGGTTGTATGATGACTTCATGGTTGTATGATGACTTCATGGTTGTAAGATGACTTTGTGGTTGTATGATGACTTCATGGTTGTATGATGACTTCATGGTTGTATGATGACTTCATGGTTGTATGATGACTTCATGGTTGTATGATGACTTCATGGTGGTAAGATGACTTCATGGTTGTATGATGACTTCATGGTTGTATGATGACTTCATGGTTGTATGATGACTTCATGGTTGTATGATGACTTCATGGTGGTAAGATGACTTCATGGTTGTATGATGACTTCATGGTTGTATGATGACTTCATGGTTGTAAGATGACTTCATGGTTGTAAGATGACTTCATGGTGGTAAGATGACTTCATGGTTGTAAGATGACTTCATGGTTGTATGATGACTTCATGGTGGTAAGATGACTTCATGGTTGTATGATGACTTCATGGTGGTAAGATGACTTCATGGTGGTAAGATGACTTCATGGTGGTAAGATGACTTCATGGTGGTAAGATGACTTCATGGTTGTAAGATGACTTCATGGTTGTATGATGACTTCATGGTGGTAAGATGACTTCATGGTTGTATGATGACTTCATGGTTGTAAGATGATTTCATGGTTGTATGATGACTTCATGGTTGTATGATGACTTCATGGTTGTATGATGACTTCATGGTGATAAGATGACTTCGTGGTTGTATGATGACTTCATGGTTGTATGATGACTTCATGGTTGTAAGATGACTTCATGGTTGTAAGATGACTTCATGGTTGTATGATGACTTCATGGTTGTATGATGACTTCATGGTTGTATGATGACTTCATGGTTGTATGATGACTTCATGGTGGTAAGATGACTTCATGGTTGTATGATGACTTCATGGTTGTAAGATGACTTCATGGTTGTAAGATGACTTCATGGTTGTAAGATGACTTCATGGTTGTAAGATGACTTCATGGTGGTAAGATGACTTCATGGTGGTAAGATGACTTCATGGTTGTAAGATGACTTCATGGTTGTATGATGACTTCATGGTGGTAAGATGACTTCATGGTTGTATGATGACTTCATGGTTGTATGATGACTTCATGGTGATAAGATGACTTCGTGGTTGTATGATGACTTCATGGTTGTATGATGACTTCATGGTTGTATGATGACTTCATGGTGGTAAGATGACTTCATGGTTGTAAGATGACTTCATGGTGGTATGATGACTTCATGGTTGTAAGATGACTTCATGGTTGTAAGATGACTTCATGGTTGTATGATGACTTCATGGTTGTATGATGACTTCATGGTGATAAGATGACTTCGTGGTTGTATGATGACTTCATGGTTGTATGATGACTTCATGGTGGTAAGATGACTTCGTGGTTGTATGACTTCATGGTGGTAAGATGACTTCATGGTTGTATGATGACTTCATGGTTGTATGATGACTTCATGGTGGTATGATGACTTCATGGTGGTATGATGACTTCATGGTGGTGTGATGACTTCATGGTGGTATGATGACTTCATGGTTGTATGATGACTTCATGGTGGTAAGATGACTTCATGGTTGTATGATGACTTCATGGTTGTATGATGACTTCATGGTTGTATGATGACTTCATGGTTGTATGATGACTTCATGGTTGTATGATGACTTCATGGTGGTAAGATGACTTCATGGTTGTATGATGACTTCATGGTTGTATGATGACTTCATGGTTGTAAGATGACTTCATGGTTGTAAGATGACTTCATGGTGGTAAGATGACTTCATGGTTGTAAGATGACTTCATGGTTGTATGATGACTTCATGGTGGTAAGATGACTTCATGGTTGTATGATGACTTCATGGTGGTAAGATGACTTCATGGTGGTAAGATGACTTCATGGTGGTAAGATGACTTCATGGTGGTAAGATGACTTCATGGTTGTAAGATGACTTCATGGTTGTATGATGACTTCATGGTGGTAAGATGACTTCATGGTTGTATGATGACTTCATGGTTGTAAGATGATTTCATGGTTGTATGATGACTTCATGGTTGTATGATGACTTCATGGTTGTATGATGACTTCATGGTGGTAAGATGACTTCATGGTTGTATGATGACTTCATGGTTGTATGATGACTTCATGGTTGTAAGATGACTTCATGGTTGTAAGATGACTTCATGGTTGTATGATGACTTCATGGTTGTATGATGACTTCATGGTTGTATGATGACTTCATGGTTGTATGATGACTTCATGGTTGTATGATGACTTCATGGTGGTAAGATGACTTCATGGTTGTATGATGACTTCATGGTTGTAAGATGACTTCATGGTTGTAAGATGACTTCATGGTTGTAAGATGACTTCATGGTTGTAAGATGACTTCATGGTGGTAAGATGACTTCATGGTGGTAAGATGACTTCATGGTTGTAAGATGACTTCATGGTTGTATGATGACTTCATGGTGGTAAGATGACTTCATGGTTGTATGATGACTTCATGGTTGTATGATGACTTCATGGTTGTATGATGACTTCGTGGTTGTATGATGACTTCATGGTTGTATGATGACTTCATGGTTGTATGATGACTTCATGGTGGTAAGATGACTTCATGGTTGTAAGATGACTTCATGGTGGTATGATGACTTCATGGTTGTAAGATGACTTCATGGTTGTAAGATGACTTCATGGTTGTATGATGACTTCATGGTTGTATGATGACTTCATGGTGATAAGATGACTTCGTGGTTGTATGATGACTTCATGGTTGTATGATGACTTCATGGTGGTAAGATGACTTCGTGGTTGTATGACTTCATGGTGGTAAGATGACTTCATGGTTGTATGATGACTTCATGGTTGTATGATGACTTCATGGTGGTATGATGACTTCATGGTGGTATGATGACTTCATGGTGGTGTGATGACTTCATGGTTGTATGATGACTTCATGGTTGTATGATGACTTCATGGTTGTATGATGACTTCATGGTTGTAGGATGATTTCATGGTTGTATGATGACTTCATGGTTGTATGATGACTTCATGGTGGTCAGATGTCTCCATGGAAGTCATCTTCACCCACACAACCTTCCCTGCTAGGGGTGAGATGTGACATCAGCCTCACATCCTCCCGGACGTCTCGGGTCTTCACTGAAGTCAACCAAAATAGCTTGTGTACTCACCTAATTGTACTTGCCGGGGGGTTGAGCTCTGGCTCTTTGGTCCCGCCTCTAAACTGATGAAGTAAGGTGACTCCAGGTGACTCACTTTGAATTCCTCGTCTCCCTCTACGGTTGACCTGTTGGGATGACGTGTATATAGCTCCCTTCTCCTCGGGTAATCTGTCTGTCAGTGTGAGATAATCTGTATACTTTTATGCTGAACTCTGATATTACTTCCCAGTTTGTAACGTTTATCCATGTTACTGTTATCGGATGGGTTGATATCCAGCAACACAAGGATGGGTTGATATCCAGCAACACAAGGATGGGTTGATATCCAGCAACACAAGGATGGGTTGATATCCAGCAACACAAGGATGGGTTGATATCCAGCAACACAAGGATGGGTTGATATCCAGCAACACAAGGATGGGTTGATATCCAGCAACACAAGGATGAGTTGATATCCAGCAACACAAGGATGGGCTGATATCCAGCAACACAAGGATGGGCTGATATCCAGCAACACAAGGATGGGTTGATATCCAGCAACACAAGGATGGGTTGATATCCAGCAACACAAGGATGGGTTGATATCCAGCAACACAAGGATGAGTTGATATCCAGCAACACAAGGATGGGCTGATATCCAGCAACACAAGGATGGGCTGATATCCAGCAACACAAGGATGGGTTGATATCCAGCAACACAAGGATGGGTTGATATCCAGCAACACAAGGATGGGTTGATATCCAGCAACACAAGGATGGGTTGATATCCAGCAACACAAGGATGAGTTGATATCCAGCAACACAAGGATGGGCTGATATCCAGCAACACAAGGATGGGCTGATATCCAGCAACTGAAGGATGGGTTGATATCCAGCAACACAAGGATGGGTTGATATCCAGCAACACAAGGATGGGTTGATATCCAGCAACACAAGGATGAGTTGATATCCAGCAACACAAGGATGGGCTGATATCCAGCAACACAAGGATGAGTTGATATCCAGCAACACAAGGATGGGTTGATATCCAGCAACACAAGGATGGGTTGATATCCAGCAACACAAGGATGGAGTTGATATCCAGCAACACAAGGATGGGTTGATATCCAGCAACACAAGGATGGAGTTGATATCCAGCAACACAAGGATGGGTTGATATCCAGCAACACAGGGATGAGTTGATATCCAGCAACACAAGGATGAGGTGATCCGTACGCAGCAACGCAAGGATGAGCTCATCCGTACGCAGCAACACAAGGATGAGGTGATCCGTACGCAGCAACGCAAGGATGAGCTCATCCGTACGCAGCAACACAAGGATGAGGTGATCCGTACGCAGCAACGCAAGGATGAGCTCATTCGTACGCAGCAACACAAGGATGAGGTGATCCGTACGCAGCAACGCAAGGATGAGCTCATCCGTACGCAGCAACACAAGGATGAGGTGATCCGTACGCAGCAACGCAAGGATGAGCTCATCCGTACGCAGCAACACAAGGATGAGGTGATCCGTACGCAGCAACACAAGGATGAGGTGATCCGTACGCAGCAACACAAGGATGAGCTCATCCGTACGCAGCAACACAAGGATGAGCTCATCCGTACGCAGCAACACAAGGATGAGCTCATCCGTACGCAGCAACACAAGGATGAGCTCATCCGTACGCAGCAACACAAGGATGAGCTCATCCGTACGCAGCAACACAAGGATGAGCTCATCCGTACGCAGCAACACAAGGATGAGCTCATCCGTACGCAGCAACACAAGGATGAGCTCATCCGTACGCAGCAACACAAGGATGAGCTCATCCGTACGCAGCAACACAAGGATGAGCTCATCCGTACGCAGCAACACAAGGATGAGCTCATCCGTACGCAGCAACACAAGGATGAGCTCATCCGTACGCAGCAACACAAGGATGAGCTCATCCGTACGCAGCAACACAAGGATGAGCTGATCCGTACGCAGCAACACAAGGATGAGCTCATCCGTACGCAGCAACACAAGGATGAGCTGATCCGTACGCAGCAACACAAGGATGAGCTGATCCGTACGCAGCAACACAAGGATGAGCTCATCCGTACGCAGCAACACAAGGATGAGCTCATCCGTACGCAGCAACACAAGGATGAGCTGATTCGTACGCAGCAACGCAAGGATGAGCTGATCCGTACGCAGCAACACAAGGATGAGCTGATCCGTACGCAGCAACACAAGGATGAGCTCATCCGTACGCAGCAACGCAAGGATGAGCTCATCCGTACGCAGCAACACAAGGATGAGCTGATCCGTACGCAGCAACGCAAGGATGAGCTCATCCGTACGCAGCAACACAAGGATGAGCTGATCCGTACGCAGCAACACAAGGATGAGCTCATCCGTACGCAGCAACACAAGGATGAGCTGATCCGTACGCAGCAACACAAGGATGAGCTCATCCGTACGCAGCAACACAAGGATGAGCTCATCCGTACGCAGCAACACAAGGATGAGCTGATCCGTACGCAGCAACAGCGTACTAAAACACAATAATTTCTGAACGTCAGCCAAAGTGAGGAGAGCGTGTCTGGGAAGAAACAGGACTGAGGTTCGAGGCTCTTCACTGTGAGTCTACAGCCAGGATCACGTGATG